TGGTTGCCACATTTCCCATTTCCTTTGATTTCCTCCAATCATCACCCCGAGATATTTGAATGGCAAGTCACCAATCTTACAATGCAGCAGGCATGCCATTTTGTTTAACCAATCCTCCTTAACATGTATTCCAATTAACTGGCTTTTGAGAAAATTGATTTTGAGATATGAAACAAGCTCAAATAGCCTCATGATACACTTTGCAGCCCATATGTTCTTCTTTGTAGCTTTCCCAAACAAGATGGTATTGTTTGCAAATTGTATATGAGAGAAACACATACCATTCTGCCCTACCTCAATACCTTCAAACAACCCATTATCTTCAAACAACCCATTATCAACTGTTGACTTTATAATTCCGTTAAGGCCTTTAGCAGCGACTAAGAACAAGAATGGTGACAATGGGTCACCCTATTTTAGTCCTTTGGATACCTTAAATTGTTTGGAAGGGCTCCCATTAACCAGATTTGATAGCAAGCTTGTTTGCAGACATTCAGTGATCCATCCTCTCCACTTAATTCGAAAACCGAGTCTCCTCAACATTTAGTCTAAGAAACTCTAGCAATATGCTTTCTCGAAATCAACCTTTAGCACGAAACTATCTTTCTTTTTCTTTTTGGCTTCATCAATAATCTCATTTGCCAAGACCACCCCTTTGGCTAGCTGTCTTCCTTCCAAGAATGCCATTTGCTGTTCGCCTATCACCTCAGAGAGCACCACTCTAATTCTGTTGGCTAGGATCTTGGCAATGATTTTGTATATTGCCCCAATTAATGACATTGGCCTATATTCTTCAATTTTTTTAGGGTTATGGACCTTCTGGATTAAGGGAATAAATGATACATTTGCACCGCTAATCAATTTCCCATTCTTCTGGAACTCCTGAGCAAACTTGATAACATCCTCCTTAATCTCTCTCTAGAATTCCTTAAAGAATCTAAAATTAAACCCATTTGGACTTGGAGATTTGTCACAATTGCACTCCCAAACCGCTGCTCTTATTTCTTCTTTACTGAATTGCCTAAGTAGTGCAACATTTTGTTCTTCGGAGATCTGTCTGAATGTTATGCCAACCAAAACTAGTCTTTGCCAATCATCCTCTTTGAATAGCTCTTCAAAATATTTGGCTATTCCATCTTTAATTTCCGAACTCCTTTTAGTTGCCTATCATTTATCTTCACATTGTTAATTTCCATTTTCCAATGTCTACTATGAATGCTTTGATGGAAGAATTTTGTGTTTGGATCACCATCTTTCAACCAATCTTTCCTTGCCTTCTGTTTAAGCATTCCTTCTTTTATTTTCACATTTTTCCCATAATTCCTACATTTTACCCTTCCTTTCCACAACTTCATGTTCTATGAGTGTCCTTGTTTCTGCTTTCAAATCCAGGCTTGTGATTGCCTCCTTGCTTTCTTGAATCTTCACATCGCTATGAGCCATTGCCTTCTTACTCCATTCTTTTATTTTAGCCTTCATGATCTTCAATTTTTTTTTTTTCAATTGGTACCCCTTCCAATTGGCCATTTCATTTGCTTTCCATGTGTTCACTACTAACTCCCTAAAGCTCATCTGCTTCAGCCATACATTAAAGCATTTGAATGGTTTGGGTTGCCACTTTATCTTCTCATTCCTCAAAAGAATTGGGCAGTGATCAAATAAGGATCTTTTAAGGCCCCATTGCTTGATATCTAGCCATTTCATTATCCACTCCTCTGATAATAGAAAGCGATCAAGTTTGCTCATGGAGCAACCATTAGGGTGGTACCAAGTGAATTTTCTCCCAATTAACGAAATATCAATCGGACCCACTTCCTCAATGAATTCTTCAAACTGCCTCATTTGGCTTGTTTAATTGTTATTACCTGCCCTTTCAAACTAGTACCTTGTAGCATTGAAATCCCTAAGCAAACACCAGTTTCCTCTATTTTCATTAATTAACAAGTGTAGCTCCTCCCATAACTGTCTTTTTCTAGTTGCTTCACAAGGATCATACACATTCACAATGTTCACAAGAGTTTCATCTACCCCCAAAGAACCAAAAACTCCTATAAAATTTGTACCTTCTACCAATCTGCTCATTTTAAGCATTTCTTTATTCCAAATGCATATTAGGCCCCTTGATTGCCCAGTAGATGGCTTTGCATATGTTGATCACCAAGTTATGTAGTAATTGCTTACTATTAACAATCAGTCATTAACTATCATATATTAACTGGACCTAAGACATTTTTCAATACCATAGATAAAAAGAACCTCCATTACAGTATGAGATGAGATCAGTGAAAGAGAGATTGGATGGGCAGGTGTCCAGAAACAAAGGGGATTAGGAAAATATATGTCATGGAAATCCAAGAATATTACAGTTAGGCAAGCCGACCAGCAGCGGTCGGATACCAATGGAAATGTTGGATTTACATTCGAACGACTACAAATTTAAGGAGATTTATAAGACACGCTTGGTTGGGATGGGAGCAGGTGTTTTTCATCTTCCATTAAATGTGTATCTCTAATTAATTATCTTTTGTACTTGTTTGTGAGTATGTTTTTAAATTTTTAACAAAGATCATATATAGAGTTTATTCTATGTTTCTTTTTTTAATTTGTTTCTCACGAGATGAAAGAAAGGGAAATGATAAATTCGATAAAGTGAGAGAAAGCACGAAAGAGAAGAGAAAAAAGGGGAAATTGCAATTCTAAATTCCTGTGAAGTGTCATCTCCTTCATTATATCCAATAAAAGATAATGTCTTCAATTGCATAATTAAAGTAAGTATGTATCCTTACTTGAGACTTCTGTCTTTTCGTTTTCTGGTATAGATGCCAATAATTCATTATGTCTTGAAATTAGTTAATGATTATTCATGAGTGGATGTAGTGACCTACGTAGAGAATATATTAATTTCTATGTGCTATAAGCTCTTGCTCCCTTTTAGGTTATAAGTTCTCTCTTTTTAATTTAACATTTCTAAATTTGAGATTCCTAATTTTGTGATGTATTATTTGTAGTGAACTAGCTTAATTAAATTGATTGTTATAATAGTTTTTCGTACAACAAAATGTTTTTTATTATTAGACAATGATTGATAAATTTTTTGATTTAACACAATTATTAAAAAAATTAATATTTTTAAATTTAAATTAAAGAGGAAAAAACTTAAATTTATAGATTTTAATAACTGAATCGGTAGATAATGTTAGATATGTTAAATTAAAAGAGATATCAATTATTTTCTTTTATTATTAGAAAGATTTAAACTTTTAATTTTCATATCAATATTTTTGAATTAATAAGTACCAATTTGACCAATATTTAGTTGATATTATTACAATATAGTGGAAATGACCTCTTTTTTTTTTTTTTTTTTTTTGCTTTTTTATAATGAAATTAAAACTATCAAATTGTTAAATTGAATTTTGTTAACACTAGGTTCACTAACCTTTAAAGTGTGACATTCAAAAATTCATTGAACTTAATTTGTTGAGTATAGCATTTAGATTGTTAAGACTTCAAAAAAGATATGGTTACAATATCAATATATATGATGTATTATTATATAATTGACATTTTTTATTCAGGAAAAATATTGGTGTATCCTTTGGTTCAATAGATTAGTTAACACCATCAGTTTGGTCATTGAAATTTGTAACTTTAAGTTTTTTGCCTTAATTTAATTCAAATTCAAAAATAATAATTTATGAATAATTGTGTTCTAGAGTGTATTGAATTAATCAATGTACTTTATTTAGGAACACACTTGTAATATTATATGTATATTTAACAAATTACAATCATAAATTAATATTATAACTGTAAAATTATTTATAATTTTATATTATATTATAGTTATATCATTGCTGTTGAAAGCCTTATTCCATTAAAAAACCCTTTATGCAATGACTCATGTAGTGCATAACCTATCAATAAATTCAATGACTTAAATAGAAAATTAAACTTTAAAAAAATGATTAGTATGTCTTTTGATTCAACATATCCACTAATACTTATTGGTTGAACTATTAAAATCTACAATTTTATGTTTTCTCACTTTTAATTTAAATTTAAAAGTAATAATTTTTTAATAAATATATTATAGGGTGTGTTAAAATAAATGATATACCAATCATTATCTTAAATTTTATGCAACTTGGTTTTAAAATCATTTTGGAAATGGACTTCAAACAAAGTTCATGACCTAAATGTAGAGGTTAGCATCGGTTTGGTCCGGTTCAATTACCCTAACCGAAAAATCCAATGTCATTGAATGAAAATTCTTTTTTTTTTTTTTTTCCTTCTCCTTTGACCTCCCATTTCCCTCAACCCCAACAAGCTTCTATCATGCACCTTAATTTTAACAAGTTGATATTTTACTAATAATTAAAACTATGTTACACTGTAAAATACAAATTATATTGAAAAATTCAGTTACTACATTTAATATACACATTTCATCTTATTAATAATATTATGCACCTTTCCATCAAAAAAATAATATTGTGCACCATAAAACTTTAAAAAAAATTAAAAAAATATTATACAACTTATAATATATTAAATTATATAATACTTATTATTAAATAAAAATTAATTTTTAAATAAAATTTATTATTATTTAATAATTTTTATTTTAGAGTTCATTACATGTCAGATAATAAAATAAGAGTTATAAATTTTAATTAAGTAAAAAAAAATTTATAAATAGAGAAACAGATATTAAGAGAGTATTTTTCTTATTAGATTCGATGCGATTTAATTTTAAATTAATTAAGATTTAATATAATTTTAAGAGATACTAAAGGTTAATATTGAAAAAAATTAAGCAAGATGAGTTTGTCCCCATCTCAAATCACTGTATCTTTCCCTTTCCTTCTTCCCTTTTTTTTTTTTTCCTTTTTAGTCTTTCTTATTGAATTTTTTCTTTTAATTTTACTAATATACTATTGTTATTGAGCACTGTAATCCACTCTCCACCATTCACAACCTTCAGTCATCTTGTACTCTTCTCTCTCTTACTCTCGCTTTCTCTATAAAAGCAAACCCATCAAACCAAGCAATTCTCCACACCTTTTCAACCATGGCTGACCCTTACTCCAACTTCTTCTCAGGTTGGTTGAAGTTCAACCCTCTTCACCACCACCATCATCATTACCCATCTCCGCCGCCACCTCCTCCTCTTCCTCCCCCTCCCCAACCCACCTATGCCGTCTCTAACTTCCACCCCACTCAAACCCATCCTTATTTCCACTACCAAACCCCTCCACCCTCCCATCAGAGAAGCCCTCCCCCTCTTGAATTTGAGCCCGGACCGCCCCGACCAAGAAGATGATCAAGATCAAGATCAAGATCAAGATGCAAACAATTCCTGCACCGCCATGGATGTGGACAAGATCAGCTCCAAAAACGAAACTGTTACTGTTGCACTGCACATAGGGTTACCCAGCCCCAGCGCTTCCGAGTTGGCCTCTGTTTTATCTTCTTCCTCCGAGATCACGGATAAAGATGGAGATGGGGATGATTCTGGCTACCCTTTGAACAGACTCAACAAGGGTCAGTATTGGATCCCTACCCCTTCGCAGATTCTCATCGGCCCTACACAGTTCTCCTGTCCTGTTTGCTGCAAAACCTTCAACAGATACAACAACATGCAGGTAAGTTTCATCACTTAATAGAATTGCAGTGTTCTTCATAGAAACTTTAGATAACAACACCCAACAATTGGTATCAGAACAATTCCACCATGCCTAGTCGCAGATGATGCTAGGATTGCAGCCTCTACTGTGACTAGGTAGAAAATAGTGATCTGATCTCTTGAAAGAAATCTCTATTTGTTTCTTTAAATTTCTATGGATTGAGAGAGTGAACAAGCATATTGATCCAATGAGGAACTTTTTTTTTTTTTTTTGGTGGTTTGCATGGTTATTTATTTAAAATAAATAAATAAATAGGTTTGGGGATTTTGAATTACATTAATAAGTCTTCCTGATCCGACTGAGACTGAGATCGGTACCTTCTTTTTTGTGATTGAACAACACAGGCAATGTTCCTTATGTCTTTGGTACTTTGAAGTTTGTGCCTTTTTTTATAATGGCAGGGAGCGTACGACTGAAATTTTTGCAGGTTTTTTTTTTTTTCCTCAGGGACTTAGATGAATAAAAAAATTTGTTTTTGCTTCAAACCCTTCTTTCTACAACAAATCATTCCCAAGATCACATAAAAGTTCCATGAGTATAGGATACATCTTATCACTTCTCCTATATCTCCTAACCTCATTTTCAAAACCCTTTTCTTTTCTCTATGCATATATTCTTTTCTTCTTTATTGAGTTTTATGAATCTGTTCATTTGAGTTAAAAAGCAAATTATTTACGTTGTAACTAAGAAATCTGTGAAAAATTACTTTCTTGCAATAGAATGAAACTACCTTGGAGATGCATCAAACATGGTGTATGCATATAGAACTCAAAAACAAAAGGAAAGATTTTTAGAATTTGCCCACCAAAATGATGAAGAGACAAAAAGGATGAGCTTGTAGTTGGTGATTTGGTGTTTAATTATGAGGAATTATAAAGACTAGCTTTTCTTAGTATTTGAGACGTCGAGCACCTTTTGGTTTTGTTGTTTCTTTAGTTCTTCCGATCGTTTTTTTTTTTTTTTTTTTGTCGGCAAAGATATTTTTGTCGGCAACGATACGTTCTTACTTAGCTACTGCAGAGGTTTGAATCGTTAAGACTTAACCCAGAACTATGGTTTTGATTCTCATCATTTTCCATTTTGTCTTAATGTTATAGATGCACATGTGGGGACATGGATCTCAGTACAGAAAAGGCCCAGAATCACTGAGAGGAACCCAACCTACAGGTATGCTCCGGCTACCTTGCTATTGCTGTGCCCCAGGCTGCCGGAACAACATCGACCACCCAAGAGCCAAACCCCTCAAAGACTTCAGAACCCTCCAAACACATTACAAGAGGAAACATGGGATCAAACCTTTCATGTGCAGAAAATGCGGCAAGGCCTTCGCAGTCAGAGGAGACTGGAGAACCCATGAGAAGAACTGTGGGAAGCTTTGGTACTGCATTTGTGGGTCGGATTTTAAGCATAAGAGGTCTCTTAAAGATCATATTAAGGCCTTCGGAGATGGTCATGCAGCATATGGTGTTGATGGGTTTGAAGAAGAAGACGAGCCTGCATCTGAGGTGGAACAAGATAATGATGAGTCCATGTAGTGAAAGAAAGAGGAAAATGGTATCAAAGCATTCTTCTAATTATTAGCATAAATTGGTGAGGCTTTCCCAAGTAAGAACTATATATATATAAGCATCAATTTACTTGGAAGCATACCACTTCTTAACCTTTATTCCTTCCTTCTTGGAGGTATTCTAGTAGTTTCTATCATTTCCCTTATAAAATTAGAAATGTATCCCCTAAACATCATGCTAGCTAGGTTTAAGTTCATGTAAATTCACTTCTTCTATTGATCATTTAGATGCTTAACTTGTTCCTCATTTTTAGCTGGTGCGCCTTTCCATTTCTTTCTTCTTCTTCTTCTTTTTTTTGTGTGTGTAAAATCCACGTGTAAGTTAATATGCTTAGCTATCGTAGAGTTGTAAAGTGTTGGCCTTGACTTAGAATTAAGATTTTAGTACAACTTATAAGTCCTTTGACTGTGGTCCTTAAGAATAAATAAGATAAAAACAGAAGCTGAATTTTGAAAAATGCTGGTGGGATCTCACATCTATGAATGGGAAGATCATACATATGATATTTTCAGTACTAAAAGAAAAGCTAGATGTCATAATAAAATGCTTTTATACTTAATAAAAACCAGTTGTTTAATTTCATGTGCCTTTTCAATTGGGTCCTAACGCATTGAGAAAGAGCTCTACATGATCTATTGGAATTGTTTATGTTTAAACCTACATTTCTAACATAATTCAAAGCAATTCTTACCGTTTAAGCTAATCCCAACAAGTTGAATATGTAAGAAATTAGAGGATGAACCAATAAAAATTTAATTGAGTTGATA